TTTAAAAAACTTTATCAACCAAAAATCAGATAAATTTTTTTTCTTTGAACTTTAAACGAAGATTTTTCAACAACTGGCTATCTGAATTTTTATATTCTAATTCTATGAATCCACAAAATTAAAATAAAAAAAAAATCATCAAATTCTGATAACTGTTTATTAAGAAATCTTTACTTAAAGTTTTTTAAAAAAATTTAAAAAAAGAAGTGTTGTAACAAGAGAAGAAATTTTATACTGCATTAAGACATTATTTATTACTGACTAATTTCATATATAGTTAGATCTTTAGATGGACTTCATAGTGTTCAATTTCTTGCGAGATCACTGAGATACGAGTAATATTTATTTATATCTTTCGCAGTGATTATTGTGGACACTTTTTAAAAATTTATAATGAGATAAATAAGCAAGATATATATCTAAAAATTATATAAAATAGTTCAAATCTAAAGCTTTTAAATAAAAAAAAGTTTGTAAATTCTATGTAGTAGTTTTTGAAATAATCTAATTAAATATTGCTAAATATTGCAGGTTGCTATATTGCAGGTTGTGTAACAAAAATGAATGAAAAATTAAGAAAAAAAGTCAAAATTTAAATATCTCAAAATTTCATTATGTAAACTAGTCTTGGGCTTCTATTAAAAGTTTTCAACACTTAATTTTGCATATACATATGCCTTCTAACTCTAATCCTAATACTAATAATAATTTTATATATATTAACCTGCGATATTACAACTTAATAAAAATCTAATTAGAATTAAAAAAATTATCATTTTTTGATTAGTACTATTTAAATTTCAGTATAACCAGGTTTTAAATCAGAATTTAAATATATATCATATGTATTTCGGCACTAGTAGATGCTGAAATAAGTCATGTGACTAATCAGCTAAATGTCAGAATTTGATTTGAAAAATAGTTGAAGATATACAGGTTACTCACTATAGTAAAGTGTTTTGGTTGTAAACATTTCGAGTCAATTAGCAAAATTTTCATAAATTCACTATATCGAGTAGAGGGTTTTTATATGGTCTGTTCACTCTAACAAAAGCAATTGCAAAATATCAAATCAATCTTGATTCAGGCTGCAACTAAAATAGCTTAATGATACAATTTCATATAATGATAAAGGCTTGTTATTGTTCAAGCTTAAAAATTAATTAGCTCAGAAAAAAGATACATTTATATAACTATGTAATTATTTTTTCTTTGTTCACACTCAAAGCAAACTATTAAGAAAAATTATTAATCACCATATTTTAAAATCGTCATGATTACATAATAGATCTTTTTTACATTGATTTAATTTATAACAAAAAATTAATCAATGTAATTTAAAAAACTATCTAAATCATAAGACATCACCATTATTAAAATTTTAATCTTGTAAAATATAAATTCATCATCAATACAATATTAATTTTTTACCTTTTCTCTTTTACTATCGCATGGTTAAAAGAATAATAGTCAAAACTATAGAAAATAAAAAGGAAATTATTGGATATTTGATTAATCTAATATGGGAGGCTACTAAGGAAGGAGTTAGGGAAATTGTTTTCAATAATGCATCATGCTCAGCAACCATTTTCTTAACTGATGGTACTAAGGATATTAAAAATTTAAACGCAACTGGAGTGGCTCTAATTTCTGAAGAGATTTATCAGAAAATAATCAATGATCTAGCTAATATAAAGAAGAAAGAATCTATTACCATTGAAAATGTAATCAATATTAAAATATTTTGTCACAGATCATAATAAAATTGGATTTAAATAAAATTTGAGTTCCTAATTAATCCCCAAAACAGACATGCAATCCTAAAAAAAAATTCTCCAAACTTTATATTTTGCCTATTTTACACTATGAATATTTCATTTTAATCAGATTTTATCTTAATCTGCTACATATTTATTAATCAATTAACACAGTAATATTAAGGTACTTTTAAATAAAACTTAGAATCTAGGCAGCAATAGACTATCGGAAGTCGATATTGATGCTCAAACAAATAAAAATGATATATTAAATTTGGAAGAAGACCAAGGGGCTAAAAGTAGTCATATAAATGATTATTTTAAAATCTCGAAAAGAAAAAAAAAAAATGAAGTAAGAGATTTTAAAAGTTGCTATTGAAAATAATGCTATATTTTATTTATTTATTTATTTATTTTTATTACAAAATTAATGTTTAATAAAGGATACTTTGAAATATTGACATGTTAGTGAGAATCTGAATTTTTTAATAATATTAATTATAAGCATAATTAATTATTAACATATCACTGAAACCACAGCAAAGAGAGAATGACAATAATGACTTTGAAAATAATGAGAAAACAAATGAACTATTGCCTGATTCGCAAGCTGTTGGTGCTGATGATCAATTTTTAATTTACAATATAAACCAACATAATAATGAACATGTTAATAACAATCGAGTAAGAAAACAAAACATAAAGAATTTAAAAGTTTTCTATAATTGAGTTAATCTGAAAATAATTTATTATTAATATATAAACAAATTTTAGCTAACTAAAAATGTCAGAGAAGTGGATGAATCTATGCCTAATAACTAGCAATCAATCAATATTATCTCTAAAATGCTTAAACAAATGAGCTAGCAAACAATAGTACACAAGCTGATGATATCAGATCTATTCAAGATAATAATAATGTAAAAATTTTCAACTAATCAATTAATAAGTTTCGAAAATAAATTTATTATTAACATCAAAAATTTGGTAGGATGTAAGTGATGAAGATTCACCAGGATGGTCAGAATATAAAGATTGCTACAAAAATTAAAGGAATTATGTAAATATTGTGGTTGTTCTATATACAAATAGAAAGGTAACAGAGGTCACATCCTTCTGTGTGATAGTTCGCAAAAATTTTTATACTAGATGTTTAAACACTTCACTCACAAGAATTCCTTCTAGAAATTGGTACTGTAAGGAGTGTGAAAATGGTAATCGAAGAAATCGAAACATAAAATACAAATTGAATATTCAAGTTCAGATGAAATTGATAATCAAAGTGCAAAAAAATCAAAAGATTGAAATCAAAAAGTGTTAAAAAATACAAGGCAAAACAGGATATTTTAGATTCTGACAATAAAGACAGTCATAATATAAAGAAATTTTTAAAGAAAAAAACAACGAATCATAATAAAAAATGTGAAACTTTATCAGATCCTTTAGATATTATTGTTATATCAAATTTTGGCTAATATAATTAAAAATTTGTACTTATATGAAAGTATGCAAAAATTATAGAAAAATCAACTTTGCATAATAATACTGTAGTTCTATCAATGACTCTATTGGAAATGGGTTCCAATCTTTTGCCCAACACTCATTTGCCTGACAATAACTTTCCTGACAACTATTTTCTGACAATCATCTGCCCGGCACTTTCGTCTGCTTGACACTTTATTTGTCTGAAACTTTCATCTGCCCGACAAATTTATCTTCCTGACAATAACCTTCCCGACAATCATCTGCCCGACACTTTTATTTGCCTGACACTTTTGTTTGCCCGACACTTTCATCTGCCTGACAAATTTATCTTCCCGACACTTTCATTTGCCTGACACTTTTATTTGCCCGACACTTTTGTTTGCCTGACACTTTGCCCAATATTTTCATTTGCCTGACAAATTTATCTTCCCGACACTTTTATTTGCCCGATACTTTTGATTGCCCGACACTTTCATTTTCTGACAAATTTATCTTCCCGACACTTTCATTTGCCCGACACTTTCATTTACCCGACACTTTCATTTGCCCAACACTTTCGTTTGCCTGACAATTTCATCTGCCCGACAAATTTATTTACCGACACTTTCGTTTACCCAACACTTACGCTTGCCCGACACTTTTGCTTGCCCGACACTTTTGCTTGCCCAACACTTTGCTTGCCCAACACTTTCCCTTGCCCGACACTTTTGCTTCCCGACACTTTCACTTGCCTGACACTTTTACTTGCCCGACACTTTCGCTTGCCCTAAACTTTCACTTGCCCGACACTTTCGCTTGCCCGACACTTTCGCTTGCCCAACACTTTCGCTTGACTGACACTTTGCTTGCCTGACACTTTTACTTGCCCGGCACTTTTGTCTGCCCGATATTTTCATTTGCCCAACATTTTATCTTCTTGATGCTTTATCTGAATAAAATAAAACTAATTAGTAAATATTCATGATTATTTTAATTATTAGATTAATTAATTATGCTTTTA